CACCGCAACAACACCAGCACCGCCTTCAGCGTCACCTCAACAACACCACCACTGCCACCTGTAAAAACCATCCCCAAATCACTGATGCCAGCGTTAGCTCAGATCGCAGCTTCGTGGCACCACAAACCGCCGCCACCACCACCCAAATCACACCACAAACCGCCACCACAACGCAAACAACACCAAAAAATGGAATCGAAAAATACTAAACCCACAGATCCGCCATAGCAAAACTCAAAAACTTATAAAAAAGTACAGATGGAAATAACATATCTGCGCTCAGATATGTGCTGTTGCGCTTCTAGCGCCAGAGAGAAGACAGAGAAAGTCGCTTCGAGGTTTGACCTGTGAGACACACAGTGGCGATGGATGCAGTGGGTAGTGGTGGTGGCGGCGGCTTTGTCGCCGTATGTGAAAAGAGTGGAGAACGGAGAGATGGTGAAGAAATTGGTGAGAGATGGTAGAAGAAGAGAGAAGACAGCGATGGGAGGAAAGAAGACATCACCGGCATATATGGGATGGGTTACTAGCGCCGTAGTCGGTGGAGAGGAAGAAGAGAGACTACAGCGACGGGAAGAGAGAACTGGGACGGGAGGAATGTGAATTTAGGTTTGATTTTGAGATTAAATTATTAATTGGGATGAAATTTTATAATTGATTAATTATTATTTAATTAGATATAAAAAAACCCGATTTTTGAAAAGTTAAACTATAAATCTGATTTATGAAAATGGAACTTTAAAACCAGGTCTAGGTGTAATTTTCTCATTATTAAGCCCATATTCGATGTCCATTGTTTTAAAAAAAATTGTTACATGATCATTTTTAACAATATATTCATATAATAAAATATTTTGCACAAAATTCAAATAATTTCTTCACTTTTTAACTACACAATCTCCTAAAAATATTATTTAAAACTCTCTTTTCTTGTTTTTCCTTTTTTTTTTTTTGAAATAATGGGCACCAAATATGGTTAAATTAAAATTAGTGTTCTAAAAGGTATAAA